CTTTTCTGCCGTGGCAACGAGTCTATTGTCCTCATTCTTCCTCAGTGTTGAACCATTACGTGTCTAACCAGCTCTGTGTTCACTGTGGGTTTGAATGCAACACATATCGAGGACATGTTATTGTCAGGACGCAGGCGCAAAGACCGGGTAGGTTGAGACCTCATGAATGGCAGATGTCTCATGTCTTCGGACCAATCGGAACGCATCGTGCCCACGTTAATTGCCAATACAAGCGAAAATTCGAGTCACAGACAGTAATTGAAGAGAAGTAGATTTGATTGCTGGAATAAGAATCTTATTTGCCTCATGTTTCGGATTCTGTCGTGGATCCATACCCAGAGATAATAGCAGAAACAGGTTATTCATACATAGACAGCTGCAGTTTTTATAGGATAAAGTCGCCATGCTACTGCATACCTATGCAATTATGTTCACCTTGTTTTCCCCCTGCATCCGAAATATAGTTGGCTCTCCCCCGCCACAAATTGCTCTTCTCGCCAGATGTGACCAAAGCCGACGCTGGTTCCCTCAAAGCCGCCTTATCAAAGCTTAACGAAGCCATTAAAGGCCCCTACCTCATGGGTCTGTCCGTTCAACCCTGTCTCTACTGGATTCTCATAACGGTCTAAGCTGGCCAATAACACGAGTCAAATCTGCCACGATACCCGTTGTTAAATCATTTAATATTTGTGTGTGCCCACATTTACTGTCGTGCGATGACAGGCTTGGTCGTGTGCTTACTCCTTGCAATTAGCTGGACCCAGACTAACGGACATACAGACTCGGAAAACACTCAGTGTATTGGGAAGGCCCATCCCCACGGCGCATTCATAATTATAATAAATCTGACCAGATAATACTGCCGACAAAGGCAAGGGAGATTGGAATTCCAGTTTGTGGCAATTATTCTCTCTGATGAGGGATTCGAGTTAGTAACTCAAACACTAGGCCAGTAAAGCTTTCCTTCCAGGCATCGTGTACCTTTCATCGTAATTTCTCGCTTATTAATGATCACCAGCCATCATAGATTTTGTTGTTTAGAAATGCGATGCTCTGACCATTGGATACGGGCTCATTGTACTGTCCTTTGTGATCCCCAATGCCGACAATAATGCATGGGCTCTGAGCGATCACTTATGGAACTCACCCGCAGAGTGACTTGTATAAGACGCAGAAAGCTATTGCCGACAAAAGAAAGGGAGACTGGAATGGTCGTTTCTGCCCGTTAGCCGTCAGTGTCTAGCTATACACTATCTCCGTTTTCGACGCACCCGAGTTTAGATTCCAAGTAGTGTGGTCTAAAATTCCTGGAACATGGGCTCATTATTATGTTGGTTTCGATCGGGATATCAAGCACGTGACTCAGTGTTTACAGCTTTGAACGTTTGACTTCGACCTGGCACACTCAAATATATCACACTGAGTTATGCACCTTAGTTTTGAAGGCTACTAACAGAGAAGTACCTCGTTCCCCTTAGGAATAATATCAAGGCTAGATCGTTGCGACTTAGCGTGGCCTCTGTTACACCCTCACGCCGGTGAGAACTCAATTAGCCCATTTTGATGAAATACTGATGCAGCACGTCATGAATGGACTAATTTAGGCTTGAGAACGTAATGTTGCGTACGGGAACGGTTTTCTTCTTGCTGACGCTTCGGAAAGCTTGACCTACCGTCCACTTTCAAATCGTCGACTGCCAATATTGATCATTGGTTTTAATATCTGGTCGATTTTTTTCTCTCGTTTGCTGCCCCGGCGCTCGTATAGATAATTGCACAGTTTGATGGCCGCTGGTGTTGCGCTTCGTCACCAGACTAGAAAGTGCTGGTTAGCCTGCTTTCTCTTCCGGTGGGTCCATAACGGAGTCGTCTTCGCTCGCGTTTTTAAAGTTCGGTGTGACCTTTTCCTGGTCTTAATTGACGTAATGGTGCAAGAATTAATAGGCCGCAAGAAGGTCTAGATGTCGACTCTGTCAACAGACATTTAGACCTTCCTACGGCCTGGATAGAGGTGCAGTAGTTAGTGCATAAAGACCAGGCCAAAGTCACACTTAACTAAAATAATATATGTGAAGACAGCCCCGCGACGAACCCACCGAATAAGGAACTCGGGTCGCCGGCACCATTAACCGCGGTGACGAGGCGCAACACCAGTGGTCAAAATAAGCAAACATCCATAAGAGGGCCGAGGGCACAAACGAAATAAAAAGTGTCGATCAGCCCAAGGCCAGCACTTTCGGCCTGTCATTCAAACATCACCAGTGGACGCTTTAAACATGGAGAGCCGGCCAAGCTCTCCAAAAAGTCAGCATGAATCCATACCCGTTCCGATGAGCTATCTTAAGTTCTCAAAAATGCAAATTAACAGACCCTGTCCCCTTTCTTACTTTCGGAAGGCGAGGAATTGAGCCTTGCCGATCTGGCCCTCTTTCCTTTCCTGCGTGCCTGGGACTTCATGATGAGCCGACTATCGGAGGTAGACGATGACTCCGGGGAAAGTGCCCATGTTGTAGCCCCTC